CCTTTCCAGGAAAGCCTGACAACAGATATTTTAATTTGGATATAAAACAACCCTGTGCTGCAATAACTTTTTTTCCCCTGTGGTCAGTCGCAGGGCTGAGGGCAAATAATTCTACTGAACAGGTAATCCCCCAGAAAGTGGTATCAGCCCTGAGTGGAGAGCTTTCATGCAACAGGTTCTCCCTCTGGTCTCAGATATTCCCAGGTAGCTTCTGACATTTTTCTGTTGTTGGATTTGCTGAGTGCCAAGATAACTCTCCTCTGAACATGATAGCAACAGCTTAATTGACCTGGAAAACTATGACCTGTTTCTTCTCTTCCACTTGGCAGATTAACCTTGAACTTCTGATGTCTGCCACCCGCAGCCAAGTCTCACTGTTTGGCAAGTTATGGTGGGTAGCATGAGTCATAGTGTTATGACCTTAATGCTGAGCTTGCTTGATGCCTATGGCTATATAGAAACTGCAGAAGTTCTCCTCTCTATGATTACAGGTGTCCTTAGCTCGCTCGCTGAAGAATGAGAGCATTCTGAGCCTGATTTCCCAGTCCTAGCCTCATACCTCTTCTCTGCAGTGAGCTTAATGTATGTCTAGGCACACAGCAGTGTGGGCCATGGGAGGATAAATCAGGAGGCTGTTGCTACAGGATGGCATTCAGGATCACGGGTGAAGTACAGAAAAGTCAACTACACTGAGAGTATTGGAGAATCCTACATTAAAGGGCTGTGCTGGTTTTAAGAAACAGCCTGACTGACTCCCACTGAAGGCAACTAAATTTTTGGTTGCACAAGAAATATATAGACTTGTGTTTTGAAGTGCTCCTTCTCATGATATTTCTATATGAACAAAATCTGACTAATAGGACAAGATTTCGTAACTATATTGGCTGTATCAGTCCTGCAATAGCTGGCTTCCTGGTTTCTCCAATTAACCTGAATATTATGTCTGTCTTTTCCATAGTAAGTTCCACTCAGAACTTGATGCTCCCTAGGCAAGAGGTCATATTAATGTAATTAAGTATCTTCCTGGAAGCTTCCAGGAAATAAGGCTTAAAAATTGTGAGGAAAAAAGTAGGGTGGCCACCTTGCTCTTTAAAGACTTATGTCTAACCACAATATTTGTTGATTGTTTCAAATGAGGATGGCTGAAAATATTTAAACATATTTGAGCATGAAAGCAAAATTTGTTAAACTGTATCTGTCAAGTGCCAAATGTTCTACAGACATCCAGAAGATGGGCCTTGCCTTACTCAAAGGATATTCTGAGGCAGTGAGTTCTTCAGAGAGTTCAGGCACATTATTTCCCTTCTGTTATTTCCACTGATCACAGTGGGCCTCCTCTACAGGCCTCACTGCCCACCTCTTGCTTCCTCATAAAGTTTAAACCAGAAAGAAACATGCTCTCATCTGGTCTAACGTCATGACTAGAAGATCTCACCCTGCTATTATGAATAGAATTTAATAATCTGTGTAAGGTTAAAGTTTATCCTTCAAAAAGAAACACTGCCTGATTTGTAAACATAAAAAATCAGAGAATCTCCGCTCGCCCTAGTTGTCTGCTCCTAAAGTTACTTGCTCTCTCAGCTAAAAATCTGTGCCTTTTCCTCTAATTCGTCTGACTTCATCTTCCGAATATTAGTTCATGTTATGCCTTTCTCCATTAGTCTAAAGAGCCTGTAAGTACCAGGTGTTTTGTCCACATGAAAACACTTATTTGCTATAATCACCTTACTGTAATATAAGTAGGACTGGATTTCAGTTTGGTTTCAGAATTATACATGGTAGATTAAAAAAGAACATGTAGTTCAGTAAACAGTGGAGCTAATGAAGTTTGTTTTCCTGTGGATTTGTATCTCATAGTTAGATTCTCTGGTGTCTCAAGAGCACACATTAATCAAAGGTTTTCCCAGCAGTGAACCCATTCATCATCATCATCGTCATCATTATCATCCATGTGGATTCTCTGGTCTAATAATAGAGTTGAGCACTTTAGGATGTTTATTCCCTCTCTGCTGAGTTATTTTCTTGGAACTTGTAGGAGGGGAAGGGATATAGAGACTGACAGAAATATATAGGTGATATGATCAGTTAAGTTCCATATCCATAGGGAACCAGACCAAAAAAATCAGTTTTATGCAAAGTAAACACTGGCTTTTAAACCTTTGCAGTGGAAAATGCCACTCCAGAAGGTTGTATTTGAACTGCCTTGTTTTCAAAATCTTTTTTTGTTATTCCCATTGGGAAACCCACATACCAAGATCCACACTAAGGCAATGGGTATTACAGTTGTACAGCAGCTCCAAAATTCTAATCTTTCCTGTTGCAAAGCAGGCAGCCAGTTTCCTGTAATTTGAGGTTAGGGACACCAGGGAGTTCTGTACCATATGGCACCAGGGTATTTTGTCTTCTGCCAAAAATCTCTGTCTCCCCATCCCCTGCTCCAACCACATGGCCTTTTTTTTAACAGTCAATTACATCAGATATAACTGATATTCTTGGCACAGGAATTTATTCATCTCCTCAAAGCAAATGATTGTTATGAGGTTCCTACATGCTTCTAACAGGGCCTACAGTATGTCATGTACTTGTACTGTCAGGAGTCCCAACAGTGACAGGTGCCACCTGTTAAAATACTGCTACTACTGTTTATGGATCCTGCTTCATGGAAAATACTGTCTCTAACCCATCTATCTAATGCACTTGTAACCTTTAACATTACAAAATCTGACTGTGTATTATGGGCAGTGCCCAAATAAGACTAAGCATTGTAATTTAAGATTAGTATGGTATGCAAACTGATTCCTTTGGTATCTGCTACCAAAAAAATACCTGAAGCAGGTATTCTACTTGTAATAGATAACTAAAGCTTTTTTTTTCCTCCATCTGCTGCTAAATAAGCAAATTATAGGACTGATGAGAATGGAACTCTGCTTTTGTCTAAACAGAACAGGAATAGGGGTGGCGCTGCATCTCCGCTGGCAGTCAGTTTTAAAAATTTGGTCAGTGAATGCATGCTTCAGCCAAAGGAAGTGTGTTGTGAATGGAGCTACAGAGGGGTTGGCTGTCCTCCAAACTTAAAAGCTGAGTTATCAAGACTTTTCAGAAGCTGTTGTGTGTGCCCCAAAGTATACTGCAGCCTTCGGTTTGAAGACTCTGCTGCCTGTCTTTGCAGGCATGGTGGCTTTCAAGGCAGGAGATATTTGGCAGCAATTGCACACTATCTTACTGCCTTACTACCTTCTGAGTGTACTGGATTCAGAGTAAGCCTGAACTACATGACATTTTGCAGGTGCAATGACCTGGGAGAGAACGTGGAAGAGATTTTGCAATCATTATTAGTGATATCACTTTAATGTTTAATGTGATTTCTGTGCATTTTTCTCCTACAGGAGAAACAAGGCAGAGGAAAACCTGTTATTCTTATCATAGTGTGGGTTAGACATGGGGGGTTAAAGAAATAATGACTGGCCTGGTAATGAAAATATCTGTGACAATAATGGTGCATGTAGATCTGGTGATGGCTGTACTTGAAAACAATATACTTGAAGGGACTGTAAGTACAAATAAATTCACAGAAAAACATTTGAGGCTGACTGTTCCACAATAAGAAAACCTAGTACTGTTCTTTTTTAAAAAATTAGCCAGCTCAAGTCTGCAAATTATTTACTTATTGTATCACATTTTTTTTTGTCAGATATTTTGAGAGGTACTACCTATAAATTTTAATCTAGTAAGTATACTATCTGACTTTCAAAAGAGGATAAATTGAGGTATAGATTCTAAACTTGTCCACTTTCCTAGGAATGAGCTAGTAAGTGAGCCCAGAACAGACATCACAGATTGTCATACTAGAATTCTTGCCTAGAGAGAATTCCAATTCTTCAGATTTTGATGAATTTTGGATTTAAGGCTACTCAGGAATTTCAGTTTTGAAGTTTATGCACCTCAAAAAATCCATCTCTTAATCAGTTTAAATAGTGGTCGTAAAGATCAATTCAAGAACTTTCTGCTCTTAAGGTAAATGAATACTATTTTGAAAATTAGAATATATATGAAGACATATATAATATATAGAGCTGTTAGTTTCATTTCAAGAAACAGAGCTAAGTAATTACATACTTTCAAAATTTCCAGTCATGTACTGTATTTAAATATTCCTTTATAGAATATAAGGAATGGATAAAGCAAATCTGGAGTTAGTAGAATTCATATACTCCTCTATCTGAATGCAAAAATGTATCTTTTCTACTCTCCTCAGTCTCTTCCTCATTAATTCCCATGCTGTTAATTTTGTGAGTTTTTTCAGAACTTAATGTAAAAACTTAACCTGATGCTGAATTTATTTCACATAGGTTTATGTTTTCCTCATTTTAATGGATTGTAATGCAGAGCCATAGAAGTACAGCTGCTGCAACAAACTCCCTTATTGAAGCTTGCCTGCTGCACATATTGCTTTTGGACTCTAACTTGGCTTTGAATCCTAACATTACAAAAACTGAAAAGTAGCATGGTCTTAAGCACTATAATTAATGCTTCTAAATTTTGTTCCTCTGCTATCCTGTCCACAGCTGTGTTGTGCAGAATTTCTTCAGTGAACATGTTCTTTGTTTCCCTCCCAAACCAACAGAAGAAAAATACTAGGAAATTTTACCCTCCAGTACTTTTAGACAGTGCTTCTGTCTAATATCCCAGCATTTTATATGTTTTTGTTAATCCTAGATATAAATATTGACATTAAAGTCAGTGACTAGAAAATTAGAAAAGAAATGGTGTCATCTGTGCACAATATCCCTGGATAAATGTAAAATTTCTGTGCATGGACCAAATGAGAGAAGGTGAAGAAAAAATCCCACATGTGCATAAAGACAAATGCAATTGAATATTAAAAGCCCCAAACCACGTATGTGGTGAAAATTAACTAAAATAAAACACTCATGTCTCAGTCACTCCAATATTTATAACTCTTCTTGTTGTCATTTAAAAGCATTCTTATAATCTCTTACCTTGCTAATATTAGATACGCAATTCCTCATTTTTTTGCTAGAAGACTTTGGCACATTTCTGAGATCCTGGAATATGATTTTACATGTCTTTCACCTCTCTGAAGAGAAAAGACATGATTTTTCTCAGGTATTTTTCTTATTATTTTTATAAAATGCATTTATTTTTCATTATTCATCTTCTTTCTGTGTTTATTTTCAGTACTTTTCCTATTGAGCTTATTTTCAGTACTTTTCCAATTGAGCTTCTTTTCTGTTTCTGAACCTGTACTTTCATGCAATTTTCTCTGATAGGCTAACAAAAAACATTGGCAGAAACCTAATTTGCTACAGTGCTTTACAATACTTTCTTGCTATTAATCTGTGTAATTATACTGGGTTGGACTCCCACAGCAAAGTGTTAGCAATTTATTTTTACTCATTTCTATGTGCAAAAAAAGAAAATATCTAAGAGAAATATCAAATTACATACCATATTCTTTAACATCTAATATTTAGTCAGATAACTAGGCTCTGCTATAAGGGAAAAGGTACTCCTTATAGCACAAATAACAGATGTCACAAAAATTGACAAATTTGGCATAGAACTACAGAATCATTTTTTTTTGTGTGTATTTGTATTAAGTTTGGGGAAATGATTAGTGAAATTTGATGTCAAAGCACAATAACATTTTAGAAGCCATACTATAGATTATTGAAAACTGCTTCGTAGCTTTCAAAGACCTGAAGTCAGCACATGTATTTTCAAGACTAGAAATCTGAGAGTTGCTCCTGAACTAGTGATCAGAGTGGAAAACCCAATACTTGACAAAAGAGGGCCCCATTTCAAACCTGCTATATATTTTTTGAATCATTTGACTCTGGGTTCTCTTCTATGGCCAGCGTGAAAATTAGAAAGAAATAAAATGGAGTGCCTACTGAAAATTTTAATGACTGCTGTTAGAAATGTATTTTTCTCAACATTACCCAGGTCTTAAAAAATAAGTTTAATCAGAATTAAAATGACAGTGCTACTCATTTTTGGAGCATGACATTTTGACATTTCTCTTAAAGAAACTTGCAAGACAGTCCCTAGGCAAAACGTGGTATTGAAAACTTACGCTATTTCTTTTGAAATACAAAGAGACCCAATGATAACAGTGAGAATGCATGATGATCTTTTGCTAATTTGAAAGTACAGAAGTTTGAAATGGGGATATTTGAAACCAGAAATGAAGCTTGGTGCTTGAATATATACTGTACTTTTTGTAATTTTTATTGCATAGTGCCATAATTTACTATGCGAATGGTGTGAGGATTTTCTTTTAAGGTAATTAAAATCAGTGATAAAAACAAACCATTTAGAACACTCTCTTACTCATTAACAACAAAACTAAAATGTCTTCACACCATATAATTAATTTGCTCATTTTTTTCCTGTAATGAATAGCCATGATCAACAGATAGAAAGCTACAGGATTTTTATAATGGATAACATGAGCTTTTGTGCCTCCTGATGATGAAAGGCTTAGATTTTTCTAAAGACTAATAGAAGAATATTACATAAATATTCAGTAATAGCATGATACCTATCCCCCTCTAACCTTTTTCAAAGCCTGAAACAAAATGGAAAAATTATTAATGAGCCTATGCAGAGATGCTATATGAGAGCCTACTCTATCCTATTGCTGAATTTCTAGGTCAACAAAGACAATTGTTCCATTTTGCACCCGATTCAGGCATTATACAAATGTGTTACAATTCTTTGCTGAAGAACTAGTTGTTCTTGTTTCAGTCATAGCCACTTCCACATGGAGAGAGATTAAATTGAATCCAGAACTACACTCTGGTATCATTCCAGAATTATCCTAAATTATGCTAGAAAGTAAGACTACAAGCTTCTTAAAATTTATGTAATGTTATTTAGTATAGTCTGGTGTTATTTAGTGTATTTTATTGTGACCATAATAATTACTGGTTCAACTTTTGGATATGGACCCATGCATTCCCATTTTCAAATTTATATTTTAAGCCATTTGGTTTATTTTCAAAAGGTGTTTGTGTATGGTGTAACAGAGGTGTTCATACAGGGTGCAACAATAAAGCTGCCATGACTTTTGGAGTTGTTGAAGAGTAATGTCTTGACGAACCATGAAGAATTTTCCTCATTGGTTTTACAGGATGATTTTCCAGAACTGATTTCTATTATTTTAAATAGCTTCAGTTTTTCTAAAGACTTCCCAGGATCAAAAACCTCTGTTAAGATCTTCCAGTTTTCTATCGGTATCTGTTCAATGCACCTAAGTATTTCAAGAAAGGGGATTTTTTTTTTTTCCCCAGTAAAAAATAACAAAATAATAAACTAAGCCTCTACCTGAGGAGCTGCGTTACTCACTCGCACGCATGACGGCTTATCCAGCCCCACCAGGTGCCTGCCGCCCGCTTTGACGGCGCGGCCGGGAGGTGGCGAGGGGGGGGACAGGGACAGCCCTAACGCAAAAGCGGGTCTAGGTCTGCTGCTGCGAGTCTCGGGGCGGTGGCCACCCCCTGTTCTAGGTAAGAGGGGAACCCCAAGAGCCCGTCCGCTGGCAATTTCAGCGCTGGTTCTCCTCAGAATACCTCAGCGACAGGGAACCGCAGGCGGAACGCCGAGAGGCCGCCTAGTGCCTCACACGGTCTGAGGGGGGAAAGGACGAACGCCCGCCTCGCTCTGGGAAACCGCCGGGGGAAGGGACCTACTACCCGTGGCCGTGGCGTGACCGCCGGCTCCGAGCCCCGGGGCGGCGGTGATGAGGGGGCAGCGCGCGGGGCGGAGGGGGGGGGGGGGGGGAGGTCGCGCAGCTCTCGCGATGGCTCCTCAGCTGCCGGCGGCTGTAACGGCCGTTAATCGGCCAGGCGCTGTTTCCGGCGGCGTAGCCAATGGGAAGGCGGGGCGCGTGGGCGGGGCCTGGAAGCGCGGCCAGTGAGAGGGAGGGGCGGTGCGTTTGAACGCCGCGGCGGTAGCGCCGTGTTCCGCCGGGAGCTCGCGGCGGGTCTGTCGCCATGCCCGGCCGCCCCGATGACTACGAGGTGCTGCTCACCATCGGCGCGGGTTCCTACGGCAAGTGCCGCAAGGTGCGCCGCAAGGCTGACGGCAAGGTGAGGCGGCGCCGGTACCGGTACCGGTGGCGGGGCGGGCTGAGACCCCTGTAGCATCTCGGGGGGGCGAGGCACCGTAGGATGCCGTTGCTACCGGTTTCAGCTGGGCGCTGGCAGCAATTCGGGAGAAGCGAGTGGCTTTGAAAGCCCCCCCTTCCCCCTTGCAGAGCTCCGGCTTGGTGTCTAAGCTGTTCCCTAAGGCTCGGGTTTCCTCCCTAGATCTTGGTATGGAAGGAGCTGGACTACGGCTCGATGACGGAGGCAGAGAAACAAATGCTTGTCTCGGAAGTGAATTTGCTCCGTGAACTGAGACATCCCAATATCGTCCGGTATTACGATCGAATCGTCGACAGAAGCAGCACAACCCTGTACATAGTGATGGAGTACTGCGATGGTGGTGACCTGGCTAGCTTAATTGCAAGGTGCACGAAGGAAAGGCACGTGAAAGTTGTGTGCAGCAATTTTGGAGTGTTTAGCATGAAGTATCTTGGGCAATCAAAAGAAAAGTGAAATGTATCTCTTCTTAATAACTTCTAAACAACCTTAGGTTTAATCCTTTGGACTCAACAGCTTTTCTGAAATGTGAAAGGTTTTCTAAAAAATTACAACCACCATGGGAATTGTGCTAATGGATGCACAAACTAATTGGATGTTTATGTCAAGGTAGTCAAAAAAAAACAGCTCTCCTATGAGGCAGAAGCTGTTGAAGGGTTTTGGGATGTAATTCTATGCGTGGGGTTGAAAGCGTAAACCAGCAAGTTATAGTTTGTGCAGATAGGATAGATAGCTTGATCGCTGGGTTCTTCTGGCTTGCTCATCAGTAAAAGCACTCGTACCCTATTTTGAGAACGTCAAAATACATGAAAGGGGAAAATGATTTTGAACACCAAGTTAAAAGCTATTTTAATGTGTCTGCATAAAAAGCTTGTGGAGACACCCAAGTTGGTAAGACTTCACCTTGGTCTAATCTTAGACTTAGTGGCCTACTTCTTAAGTCCAATAGTTTTCACATTCTTAGATCAAACAAGTACGTGACACCACGTACTTGTTACTTTGTGAGAATAGTCTAAAATGGTACTGCAGCTGCCCTCAAACATCAGTGTTTTCATTTAAGGAAGGTTACGTTAAAAATCAGTCCTGTTGTTCATTATAAACAGCCGGCAATATTACTGCTATCATAAGTGGTGAAAGCAACAGATCTCATCACAAAAGCATCAAATTGGTATTTGTATTGTAAGTAATGGAAAAGCTACACATTTGTAGCTTCCTCTTTGGTGAGGAAGGTAATGCTACATGGATACTGCAACAAAAGTAAATAATTTCCAACATATTTGGAGTGATTTTTTTTTTTTTTTTTTCCATTTTTAAAATGGCATATGTAGATGCCTGTTGCTGTTAGTTTTCCATAAAGTTGCTTGGTTTGATTCAGTGATTTTTTTTATAATAGTTTTAAAAAAGTTACAGGAGTAAGACTATCAGCAACTACTTAAAATGATATATGCTCAGGGAGTACCTTGGTTAAACAATGTATTCATCTTTCAGGCATTACTTGGAAGAAAGCTTTGTTCTCAGAGTATTGACCCAGTTGACATTGGCCTTGAAGGAATGTCACCGACGGAGCGATGGTGGAGTCACTGTGCATCGTGACCTAAAGCCAGCAAATGTATTTCTAGATGGCAAGCAGAATGTGAAACTTGGAGATTTTGGGCTGGCTAGAATACTGCACCATGATACCAGCTTTGCCAAAACATTTGTTGGAACTCCATATTATATGTCTCCAGTAAGACCTCCCTTCTGTGCCTTATCTTCCCTTTTGTCCCTCTGTTGTCTGTGGTGTTGGTTTTGGAGTCACTGAACATTTGGGAGAATTTAATGAAGAGTTACTAGTCATAAATGGAGGTGAATTTGTAGAGTGTGTATCTTCTGGAGACAAGGTTATTCTGCAGCTGTTTTCACCTCTTTTCTTCCCCACATGATCACTACCTTCTAATTAAAGTTGCTCTTCACTATATAAGTTTTGATGTGTTCTTGGAATATTAGAGATACATTGGAGTATCTGAAAAGGAACAGGGAAGCTAGAGTGCTTTTATGTTAAGGTAAAGAACTTATTACCTCTTGATGGTAGGATTTTAATTTGTAGTGGAAATGAGAAAGAATGAGTTATTTCCCTGATTTGGTGCATTTTGTGTAGGAAAAATTAATGTTGACTGAAATACGGAGTTGTATCAACTGAAGATTGGTGCAGCACTTCAGTCTTCTACAGTGTAGTACTGCCATAACTTGTTAAAATCCTGCTAGTAACAGTAGCTGTGGAGATTGATTAACGTAGAATCTTAAAAGTAACCCCAGTAAGTAATGGTTTAATTCAGGTTTGAACAGTAGCTGAATATCCTGCAACAGTAGAACAGTGTCTTAGTTAATAAACCTAAGATTGTTCTCTTTCTTTAGGAACAAATGAACTACATGTCATACAATGAAAAATCTGACATCTGGTCTCTAGGATGTCTCCTGTATGAATTATGTGCTCTCTCGTAAGTATAGTTGTGTGATAATGAATGTGGGAGCGTAGCTGTTAATACATATATGATTAAATTTTGTATAAATGAAAGCCTAAAGGTTTCAGAGACTAGTCCTAGGTTTTTATTTCTGTGTTGGTCTTGAAATTAGATAGTCAAAACAAACCTTTGATTGCAGCTTTTTTTCTTAGTCTGGTACATTTTTTTAATGAAAATAAGTCCTGTAAAACTAGTAAAAGAATCCAAGAAAAATATTGTTCTTCAGGCCTCCGTTTAGAGCTTACAACCAAAAGGAGTTGGCAGAAAAGATTAGAGAAGGGAAGTTCAGACGAATACCATATCGTTACTCAGAGCAATTGAATGAACTTCTCAAAGAGATGCTGAATGTAAAGGTAAGAATCAAATACTCATTTTCTTCCACCTATAATTTGAACTAGTATTGAAATTACTTGTTCTTCTTAGTTATGAAACAAACTGATCTGAAGTAGTGGTTGCTATCACCTTGTCATTGGCAATATCACTTGTAGGGGAAGGAGGGGAGGAATTGTGTTTTGAGGCCATTAAACAAAGGCAGCAGCTCAAATGTTATGCCGAGTTCACAGGATGCAGAAAGGCTGTCTCAGTATTAGCTTATACAGACTTTCCTAACAGCATGCTTAACAAGGTCTTATAACTTGGTTAAAATGGTTCCAGTGTGTTTGGAAGTTGGAAGGGGTTGTTTTGTTTTCATTTGGGATTTTGCTTTATATGGCTAATGTATAGCTTGCCCCACCATGACTGGCAGGGGGATGTTGAGAAGAATACTGCATAGGACGACGAAGCTGTAACAAGAACACACGTCTCCAACAGGTATGGATTCTTCAGGAATGGAGTGACGGGTAGAGATGCAGTGTTGGCTCCAGAACCTACTGACAGTTGCCTCTGTAGGCTCACCACCCCATTTGGGCTCTGGAAGGAGTGGCTGGGAGGGCTAGACTTCCAGCTTCTGGAGCTGGAGGCTGGTAACAGCCCCCTCTCTCAGCTTTTGTCATCTGGTTGTGCTACCCCTTCCTAACTCCATGTTTCTCCAATTTTTCCTTCACTGTATAGCACCTCAGCTGGTTTCCACCTGTGGTGGGTCTTGCTTGGGAATCTCTGGCCTTGGTGTTTCTTGGTTACTGATGGAAACTGTTGGCAATGTCTTTCCCTTAGGATTATTGCCGACCTTCTGTTGAAGATATTCTGCAGCACCCCTTGATAGCAGACTTGGTGGCAGAAGAACAAAGACAAAATTCTGATAAAAGAGGCTGGAGATCATGGGAGCCAGAAAGGCTGCAGCATTCAGATGCTGCACTGACTGAGCTGAAACGGAAGGAACAACAATTACAGGAGCGAGAACAAGCCATTAAAGAGAGAGAGCAACGTTTGGAGCGTATGATATTCCAGTTTGGGAAGGGGGTTGCAATGGGGTTCTGATTTAAAAGAATAAGTGTGGAGGAAGAAAAGAGACAGTTTTCAAAACCCTCATTTTAATTGATATTGTATTCCTAAATTCACTACTAAATTATCTCAAGACTAAAACGAGAATACTTAGGCTTATACATCTATACAAATTCTTGGTTTAAGTTATTAAGATGTAATTGTCAGTTTGGATATATAATTTTGTTTCAGGAAGATTATTAAACATGATTGGCAATTGGGAAAGTATGCAGAAAAATAGAGTCTGACTATTGTTCTGCATTGTGCAGTGTAAGTTGATTTTTACCTACTCTGTGTTAACACTGACTATACTCCCATGTAATTTAAGGTGAGCCTCATGTTGGAACAAAATATACTTGAGTAAACTGCCAACTGCTTTTGTAAAAGCTGCACCTACTGGTAGCTTACCTGTGAAACCATATAGATGGCTGGTCCTCAGGTGCTGGAATTTCCTGCACGCATAAAATACCTGTTTGTGTATGCAGAAGGCTCTGTAATACAGATTTTAACCATATATATTGTTTTCTGAGCTGGAATAACTGTTGCTGCTGGAAACACAGTGTTTAGTCATAGCTGAATTATAATATCAGGTATCTAAATATTTAGATCTGGTGTCATGTGTGCCATGAGTTAATGTGCAGAATAGAAGGCTGCTATAGCTTCATTGTTGCAGATACAGCAGAGTTTGGGATGGAGAGGAATAGCATGCCTGGCATCTCAGAATACTTGTCCAGTATTGCACATCAGTACTACCTTCTACACAGTTATCTTTGCTTAGAGCCACAGGAGCAGAAATATGGGTGCATCTGACAGACTAATATTGTTGTCTTTTTCTGTAAGAAAATCTATCATGCAACATCACTCTAACGCTTACATTTTAACACTCCATACGACTGTATTTCAACTTCCAGAGAGAGAACGGGAACTCTGTGTTCGAGAGAGACTGGCAGAGGACAAACTTGCTAGGTACCTTACTAACCTATAATTACCTATGTTAGAAATGCTACAATCTTACAACAAAAAGCTTAAACTTCTTTCTTCAAAACAGAGCCGAAAACTTGATGAGGAGCTGCAGTCTCTACAAACAGCAGAGGACATTAGCTTGTGCAGATGGTCCAGGTATGAAAATATGCAAGAAGCCACTTGCACTGATAAATGTAGGCTGGTGTGACCAGAAGAATGCTCCTGATGCTCAACATGCTGAACCTAGTTCCACTGTAGCAATACAAAGCCAAATTATCTCTGCAGGGTTGGGAAGAGACTCTTGGTTTTCTACTTTGCATAAAGACTTAATGATGCTCAACCATGAGTATGAGTTGCCACTGTCAGCACTTCAGTCGTGCTGGTTTAAAAATTAGGTCCTTGTGGTAAATTAATGGAAGTGCTGACTGGTAACCCAAACTCTACTCAGAGTTGCATTTATTTTACTTATGGGTGTGTTTTTATAGACTTTTGATTTAGTTAATTTTAATAAAATTGCACGTGTCTAATCACTTCAGCTTTAGTTCAACTTCCAAAAACTTCAAGGTGGGAAATAATATTTGTTGCAAGTGACCCAGCTGTCACTGGTGCATCGTATAAGCTCTGAAGAATACAAACTGCTATTATCATACTTCAGTTTAACTCACTAGGGAAAAAGAAAAAAAAACAGCTTTGAGAATGTGCTATAATGCTTCCTGACTACCCCTAGTCCAATCTGTTGTACAGTAGTTATTACCCCATAAGAATCTGATGCTCACTTTGGCCTTGGTTGTTCAGCCCTCAATACCATAAAGAGGTGGTATCATCTATTCATTGCACCTATCTTTTAATAGTAAAAATGATTCAAGTGTCTAAATGCATTTTGAAATAGTGATAGAATATTAAATGATTGGGTCCTAAGTAGTACTGTAGAAAAACATGAACACCCTTTTAACATGCAGCAACAATCTCTTAGTTTTGGTCAGATAAAACAAGATAAGCATGCTACTGCCTCTAATACAAATAAAACTGAAGATGCATATTTTTTTTTTTCCACGAATTGCCTATCACAGCAGGAAAGAACACAAATAAAATGCCACTGGAAGCTAGTGGTAATCAAGCTATTTCTAACATTCCTGTCAACTTTGAGACTTCCACCTGCCTCTCAACATGTTGTTTGACTTTGGTACATTAAAGAATATAAAATTGAAAACAAACTTGCCTTGGGCTTTCTGATGTTGCCTCTAACACTGGATGGCTGAAGGTAAATGAGCTTCAGCATTTGCTTGTTGTCTTCTCCATCTCCTACCCCTCTACATGATATTTTGACCTTAACAGAGGGGTATTAATTTTTGAAGATGGGCAAAACCACTTTGACTAGTTAGTACCTCATGACAAACAATGCAGAAAAGTGGATGTAGTTATTACAAGACTGACCAAATCTTGCAATATCTGTAGATCACTTGATAGCAAACATTAAACATTTGTTTCAACTCTTCCAATTCATTCCAGTACTCTTGTAATACTGTTTCTAAAATCTCCCATGTTCTGATATGAATGAACTAGGTGTTTCTTCAACAGGTTACCAAGATCACTTGTTTCTGCTATCTTCAGTTGCTCAAATATTACTGTATTTTTCAAAAGTTGATTGCATCTCACACATCTCTTAGGACTCTAATTTCTCCTCCGTCCATTGTGTGGTTCACTTCACATTCTAAGCTGATGTCTTAGACCCTACCCTATTTTTGCAGGGATTCTTCTGATTCTTGGGGAAGGATTTAATGTTAGAACAGATATAACTTATTGATATGAAACTACAAAATGCTGAAACATTCACTAGCCTCTTCTCACTCTGTGCTTATTGCATCCTTGCTCTAGCCTAATGAATTGAAAATTAAGGCTGCAGCAGAGTTAAGATTAGGATAGTTAGACCTTTGTTTAAAAAAATCACACGTTAAGTTGAGCCTTGTGAAGTTGGCTCTTATGAGAGGCAACTCAGCTGTTTTAATGGCTTTTGATGGTAGTTTTTTTACACTGAGTCATTAAAAACAAAACAAGCTGCCTTTTGATTGTGGCAGTTCTATACAGCTAAAACATAGCCATACTATGAAAATTCCTGTTCTGGAGGCTGCAGTGAAAGTAACTTGTTAATTTCTAATGCACCTAAAATCATTCATCAATTCAGAGCCTACTTTGTACCCCATTGACTTAATACAAGGACAGAGTTAAAAACATGGGTAATGTAGAAAGACCACTGGACAGGTTGGGTCTGCCCCCGCTACTGGATTATGTTACTGTTTAATTTCTGTCCTTCAGAAGAAATTCCATGTCTTTTCTCCTTATGTCAACTAATATGTCCTTAGGTGTTGAGAGAGGCACCCTAGAAACTACAATGGCATATGTTCTTTTACCACAATCATTTAAAAGCCTTGTTTTTAATTTTTTCTCAAAAAATGGAAAAGGATTGTTGCTATGAATTGAAATGTATTTAATTATATCCCAGCCATAGGTAGATAGCAAAATAGGTAACAATGTTAAAAGACATAAACTAAGCAATAAATGCTGAATGATGGACTAATTCAGTACTTTATTTATTTCTTAAGATAATGCACTCCTGCTCCCCTTTTCTACAACCAAGAAGAAAGTACACTTTGATGGAAGTGAAGAGAATGCTGTGCCTCCTGTTAATTTGGAAAACTATCCCCTTTCTAAAGGGAAATGCTCTGATCTCAAAAAACGTCTATATGCTGCAAATCTAAGGGCTCAAGCACTGTCTGAACTGGAAAAAAACTACCAACTAAAGAGCAGACAAATCTTGGGCATGCGCTGAAACTAACATAGATGTAAAGTATTTAACTTAAAAGCTGATTAAATGTTTAAGAAGATCCTTGTGCCTCCCTCTTCTAAGCTAGAACCTACTGAAAATTTCTTTTAACAGTTCTTATACAAACTCTTAGTCTATGATAGGTAGTTCATGATAAAGGCATAAGAGATTATATTATGAAAACAAGTAGTTTTGATATCAAATCAAAAAAACTGAATTGTATTATTAAAGAACACCTATTTTGGTCTTCCTGTTTACCATACATTACTCTTCTGAAAAATATAAAGAATTAATATTGTAAAATGGATTTTTAAAAATCTGGTATGAAAACCTTTTCAGAAGAAAAATATACAGAGATTCGCAATCTGTAGGTTAAAACAATGCTGTATGTAGTGTACAGTATTTGGTAAAATAAGTATTGATGTTTTGTAAATGTGGAAAAACAGCAGCTTTTTGTCTGTACTTGTAAATATATTTTAACTATCAAAAAGCGATTTTTACACATTCTCTTCCTACTAAGTAGGTGATTTATCAAAGCAGGCTACTTTTAATGTCTTTGACTAATGAGTGGGATGGGTCAGCTTAGCATAATTGATACATTTATACTCCTTTCTGCTTGGGAAGCTGAATGGCTTGTCCACCAACTCCTGAAAGGCCTGCTGCGCAGCATAGCATTTGAAATAACACCTTCTTTGTTTTGCCTAGAAACTGTTATAAACTGATCTGAGACTGCTATCCTGGACAGGACACCATCCAGGGTGCTATCACCTGTGTTTTGGGGAGGGGCAATTGTACTTTGACTAGAAGATTCTTATTTTCTTGAAGCTTATGAGGTATCTCTGTTTTTCCCTTCACAATTCTCTCCCAGAGTAGGAGTTGCTTGCTTAAGTTGATGTAAGTTTCATGAACTGACTCAGACCAATGAATTTTAAAAAAATCCTTTGGAACTGTAATGCCTGGCATGTATTTTATAGAGAGTTTTGTTATCTCTGTGTTGAAATGCCATAAAACATACATTCTTAAGAAACAGCTAATTTTCAAAACGTTTCCTTAATGAGCCATGAATGTTATCTAAGGAGGTATTCTAGATGGCTTTTGATTGAAAAAAAGAGAATCTTATTTGAAATATCAATTTAATTTGACATATTTGCTGAGAGGCAAGTACTTGTCTTACCAAACTGCTCTAGGAGATTCTTAACCACACAGCAGAGCTTCTCATATTTACTTGCATAGTGGGTACTGTTTTCACCACAACCTTTCCTTAAATGAATTAGAATGTGACTATTTTGTTTGCTAGTCTAAAACTTCCACTATTCTGGTGGTCATTAGCCAGCACTAGGTGTGGTTGAAATGTCTGGCAAGTATGCACAGCCAAAGTAGCCGTGCCATATGGATCAGTGCAGCTTTCCTTCTGCATTCTTTCATATTGTTGAAGATTCTCACATGTATTTGGAGGGTGAATCCCCGCTTTCTCACCATGTCTGTACATTCAGATTTTTTTGTTCTGTGCATCAACCAGAGAATCTGCAATGCAGTTCTACTGGCCTTTATGTGGATCTTTATTGTATAGCCCATAAGATGTCAAAGGGTAGCATATGCAGTGGTGTTAGTCTAATCTGAAAAAAATATGTAGGACACAAGAATTTTGTTGTATGCTTTGTCATCTGTAAAATTCAGGTATCAGTTAGTGAAAGGAGGAAACCAAGCAACCAAGAAAATAAATTAGTTATTGATTCAGGAAAGACTATATTGTGAAGTGTCTGGTGGTTGCAAATGTTTTGCTTTTAACAAGACCTAACTAAGAAAATGGCTTGAGAGTCTTTTTTTGTCTCTTTTTTTTTTCCTCCTTGGAACATATAGCTGGAACAAATAATTTCTGCATATATAAGTAAAATACCTGCAGAGCAATACCTGCAGCTTTCCTCTTCTTTTAATTCTCTAGTAACCTCAAGATGGCACTGTTGCCCTGTAATTGTTGGGAATTTCTTCTGTATTGATACATGATGCAAAATTGATGATCTGATTTAAATATATTTTTACCTGTTTTGTTTCAGAAAATCATAAGTTTGTTGCTGCAAGATGCTGATTTTCTTAGGCTACAGATGCTTTAGTACTTGCTGGTGCAATTAATTATCTCCAATTTGCCATTTTGCATCTTTTATGCATGTTTTATAAAAATAGTTGAATCAAAGACTTAGCTAACGATTACACTATTATGAATAAGAAGTGCTACGGAGAGTGCAAACTGTATCAATCACAATGGCAGTAATAAATGAGAACAGCTTAAGTTACAGCTGTAGCACTGAGCTATTTAAGTTGCATTACTCACAATGTCTTCTTGAAGTATCATCACTCTAATATGATAAATGCAGTGTTTTTGAGGTTTTTGAAATAAGTACTTCCTACCATTACGTGTCAAACATAGGGGAAGGCATCCTGGAGACGGTGTTTGTTCTCTCTGAGGATTTTTGCTTTGGAATCCTGAAATTCACATTTTCCTACAAAAGCATAATTGTTTTTCCCAGAGCACATGTGTAGCATTGGAATCACATTCAGGATGTAATTTTCAAATATATTCAGGAAAATAAATAGCACGTTTATGGGAATAGTGACTGCTTGTAGAGTGTTTGCAAAACATTGCCATCATGCTGATAGGTATACTTACCTCTTAAAAGTGAAGGTAAATTTGTACCTATGTATATGGTATAGCTTAAGCCTTACAGGATTATAATAATGGTGTATACTGTTGAATGTTGTGAGATAAATTCATTAATATTTAATATACATATCAGAAATGTTAGTATATATAGTTGTGGGCACAAAAATTATATATAGAAGTCACCTCTGAAGTTACAGAAGTTTTACATGCATAGAACATAATTTAGGTCAAAATAGACTGGAGGGGAAGTTGCATCATCTTTGAAAAATGTGGACCACATCCCTGATTTTCAGCCTTTGTGTGTGACCCTAATCAAGACCCTGTCACGGGCCTTCAGTTCCCATCTGTAACAGGCTCGTCACAGGGGGGAGCTCAGAGACAGAACTGGCATACTGTAAAGGTCTGCACTTTGGGCAGATTTTTGGTGGTGGTGGTGCAACCACCTTCATCTACCTCAGGGATCTGTGCATGTACTAGGGAATGGGATTTACTGGGAAAATAGTGGTGAGTTATCAAAGTTATGTAATGATTAGCCTGGTCAGTTGTCCCCTCTGCAGGCAGTTGACTGGGCAATCCCATGTGACTATATCATTTTAACAGTGTGAAAGTGCTGGCTAGCTGGGCAGATAAAATGCTTAGAGGAAATGAGGCTTACATAAAGAGGACCATCAAGGTTCCTAAACATAAATATCAATAGGTCATTTAATCCATACTATGTCATTGAACAGATGGAGAGATAAATCCCTCTGGAACAATTATAAAATACTTTATCATAGGGAATTTTACATTTTTGCCTTTACTGTCAGTGAATAACCTAGGAGGAGGTGATCTGGTCCTAATAATGGCACAAGCTGGTTCGCAGGCTCTCACTGCAAGACTCAACCTCCTGCAGTTTTCCACTGGTATGGGAAACAGCGCAAAGCAGCAGCTCTCTGCTGTTGCTCTTGTCTTAATCTGAAAAAGAGAGAATGCTCCTCACATTGCTCGTCATCCTAGTGCCTGTGTGTACCTCTTGCTGTGCTGATAAAGATGAAGTCCATTTCCCAGTAAGCAATGCTTCTAGCATTCATTTGTAGTCCAAAATTCAGTTGAACCCAGTAACAGTACAGTGACAGCCTTTGGGCTGTGTCTTTGTCTTATTCTTCCCTTGTGTAATTTGTGTGAAGCCAGAGGAATCTTAGTAGCTATAAAGCTGCTGTATCAGGCGTAGGAGCTGAAGCCTGCCCTGGGAGCCTGCTTAATAGGCATTTCAGCACCGTGGAAGACTTTGGCCTAATTAAGGCTACATACAGTATAATCCACATCTGGTATTAGAAGTGAGTTTTATTTATATATTTACTTTAAAAGTTAGCTGGAAGTTAAATATTACTCTTTACAACTTTAAAAAGCTCCACAGACTGATAGCGTAATGCCACATGTTGTTATACTGCTTTTCCATTTAATCTTGCTTTCAGCCAGATCAGCAATGCTGAGAAGTTACTATACTAGAGGCAACAGCGCCTTTATCTGACATATTATTTTGAAGGCAAAGTGCACTTTTGAGGCTCAGCTGCCATGAAAGGATGAAGCTTTGTTGGGAAAAAAATCCTTTGTATTCTAAAAATTGGATTCATGCCAGAGTTTTATGATATATAGGGAGAAGAAAGGCTACAGGGACACACAGAATTAGCTAGCTCCTAATAGTCTTATTTTTCAGTGTGTAGACTCTTTCTGGGCAAGGAAACATAACATATTTATGAAAACTTTTGACTAATTTTCATTTTTGAGTAGTTTAATTTTTGACTAATGGATGATGCTTGTTGCTGGTCTACCTGGTTCAAACAGAGGCAATTTATGGGCCCAGTTACTACTGCATTGTTCTCTACTGTGAATATATTATTGGTCTCAATGCATTATGTCTACTTACCTTGCATTTACAATGCATTATGTCTACATTCTAGACATTTGCAAATACTTACATTTGTTTGCTATTTGGGGAGGAAGAGCATTGCCAAAGGCACAGCAGGAACAAATGACCCATCTTCCTCAACAGAAGTGAAGACAAGCAACTTTAGGTAGAGCTCTCAATCTTAGCTTCTACCAAATCGGACTTTACTTGACAAGAATTTCAATCGATACCCCTCTGGCAAGCTTGGGTATCACACAGACCTCTCTGGAGTTTTATGTTGTATTAGGAAACAGTGAGCACAGTTTTCTTCTGCTCATAACACATTTTATTATCCAATTGCAAACAGAAGCAATATTATCTACCTGGCCTCTCAGCTCTTCCTAGACCATCGGGGAACACTCCAATGACCCAGAGCTAGATGTCTATTTAGGTCATCTGGGAAGTTTAGAAAATCCTTCCTGACAAATACAAGTGTTAAAGTCACTGACCAACTTGAGTGCTATTTGCCATGTAAAGACTTTTCTGACTACTACTAATCAATCTTTAGATGCCACTAGGGAAAGATAATATGGACTTTCTGAGACCTGGATGATAACATAAACAAAGCCATCAGGGCAAATGGCAGATCATGACAGATAATGATTTCCTGGGAGGTGAAGCAAATACCTGCTATGGCAATGATCCACATAATTAGCTTGTACTGGATTATAAGTACTTTGTGGTTGCAACTAAAAGCAGGAGGAAGCATTAGCATTAAAGAAAATGATATCATCAAGGAAGTATTCAGTTGATTGGAAAAATAATATATTTTTATGAGAATTATTACAGACTTACCTTTAGGGCACACTGTAAATATTTCTCCCCAGGTGAATTGAAGTCTGGGAAAACCTCACCATTGTGCCAGTTTCTAGAGAGACAAGTGTGATCAGAGAAGTGCTGCTGTATGATGTCCACTCCAAGGGATCCGTCTGCCTTTAGGGCAGGCTGGGGCCTCACTCTAATCAGACGTAAAATCATTTTTCACCAATCTTAATTCAGTCAACTTTAGCAATGTGATGAATATAAGTGAGCAACCAAGAATGCGTCACTAAATCTCTATGTAAGATGTAATGAGTAAAATTCCCTGCTCTAAATTTCCCACTATTTTTCAAAGCTAAATTCCTGTCTCAGTGCTTCTGGTCTCAAGACGTAACTGAAGGCTACAGGGGGACCTCACCTCCATGCAAAGCCACATTCAGTGGAGCTCCATGTGTTATCAAAAGAGGAAAGGGCATGAAACTGTATTTTCTAGTTACTGATCTTAAGTAAGGGACTGAAATCTAGATCCCACATTGTCTACGTTCAGGGAATTTCTCTGGGCAGAGTCCTAGAAACTGTGTATCAGAGACTTAAAATGGAATTTGTGTATGATCAACCACAGCCTTCACTTGTGCATGTTTTTAACCTCCTTCCATGTTCATTTTGCTGTCTCATGTTCTGGCTAAAAAAAAACCCATGGCAGACGCATCTTGTAACTGCTGCTAATTTACACTTGCTGCTGGCATGGCTGTGGGTGCAAACCAGACAGTTAAGTGTTGGCAAGAAGCAGTGAGTTAATCACAGCCTTGGAAGCATGGTCCTTTGCTTGTGCTCCAGGGAATGAGCTCAGCTGAATGGCAAAGCCCAGCCAGGGAACTCAGCCTTGGGTTTGTGCCAGGCAGTAGCCGTGAGTTTTGTTTTCAAATCTGCCTTTGCAGTAAGTTCTTATATAAAATCATAGAGCCTGGCTCAAATTGACCAGATGTTCTAATGGTCACTTCCTTTTTTAATCCTATTTTTTTACAGTTTAGATTTCATCTTCAAAGCCATTTTCTGGAAGTGAAATAGCACTTGCTACAGAGGTCAATACTAAGCTCAGCATTGTTACAATGATTTGCAGTGTTTGCTAGTGGCCTGCCATATCTGCATTGCCTCAGTTGCATGCAAAACTCCCTGTCAGGAATGTTTCTAAATGCTTGCTCTAGGTCCTGCCCCTGCACCCTTTACTAAGATGTTTCTCCTTCAGCTTGGGTGAACAGCCAACTTTCTCAAAAAAAAAAAAAATCACCTTTATAAAGTGGATTGAGAAATTACTATCCCACAGTGAAATACTTTCAGATCTGTACATGCTGAATAATGCTATTTAACTCTTCATAACTTTGGAGTTACTAGTTGACATGTAAAGATATACTGTATGCAACCAACTGGCATTGGTACAAAGTTGGAGAAAAACTGTGTATATTTTGCATGGATTTGTTATTGTTATTATCATACAAGCATGTACTACCAAAGACACTGTCAGCTTTAGTCCTAATCCAGTATCTCACAGTACCAGGCTGTAAACGAGTATTTTTCAGTGATCCTACAGTAAAATCACCAATTGTTCTTTTACAGAAAACCAGAAGCATCAACAAGAACAGAACTGAATAAAATAAAATCCTTGGAATGCTAAGCACAGCTTTCAGCATACCCAAACACAGAATTATCTTCTACACTTCTTTTTAGCATCCAAACACAAAACAATTAGCCTCTTCCCCCATTTACAGGCTCATTCTCCCTGGTGACTCAGCTTGGAAGAAGAGTAGCTGCTCACTTCTTTAATGCCAGGAGAACTCCTTATGCTGTAAATCATCCTGCCCTGTTTCTCAGCACTGCTGAGGCTGAAACAGGGCACGTACCCAGTCTCCATACCACATATCCCTACCCGCATGTAACAGATTTAAGACCCCTGATTACCGGTGAGGTCCCTTCCTGCCCTTGGTAAATAATAAATAAAAGTACATGAAAAGAATATTAGACATTTCTCAACCTGGGAGTTATTCTAAGGAAACTCAGGACTTGCATTACCTGGCAGTGAGGTTTTTGGTTTGTTTTAAGCATGCAGCTAGTAGAAACACACTCACACTGACACATTGTCTTTGCACAACTATTGCGTCCTTCATAACACACCAATGCAGACCACTAGGTAAACTTGAAATCTCTCCATGGCAGCATCTACCCTTCTAATTGTATTAATTAATTTAATATCAGCCTTCTGATTG